GGCATCGCCCCCCGGGGGGGTCTCACCCCGGGCTCCCAGCGGGGCTTGGCTCTCTCACTGCCCCCACACCGCCCCTCCGCCCCGTAGCAGCTGTTTTGGGCCCCTGGGCTTTCCCCGCGCGGGGTGGAGGCGTCCCGCTGCCTGGGTGACGGAGAGGCGAGGGAGCCCGGGCTGTCGGGGCCTTGCGCTCGCCTCGGGTAGGGAGCGGAGCCGCACAGGGCCCCTGGAAGTGTCGGACTCGGTTCCCGCCTTCCGTTCGCGGTTGAACACCTGCGAAGTAATTCTGAAATCTTATTTTCCGCCCTGCGCTTTCGTAGCCGAGCTAGGTTTATTCCCCCTCCCTGCTCTCCTACCCTTACTGCCTGAAGGGTTTAATGGTACCGATGGTACAGGAGAGTATACAGAAGCAGGATAGCAAGCAGCAAGCGGTGGACTGTAAGTGTTGCAGTAAGAGGTGACTGACTCACTTGGGCCTGGCCTTAAGAATTTAGTGATAGTAGTTGTAGAGCTTTGTGTAAGTATAATATTGTTATGGGATATCAGTGGGACATGAAATAATTTTTCAATCCTAAGTCATCTGTACCTAACTTGCAAACAGAGTTCTGTTGTTTTGTTTTGTTAGAGGGAGGTGAAAAGGGAGGTGTTGCAGCTGGGTTCCTGACCACATTCATACCTTTTTCTGGAAGTTTGCTAGTTGCATAGATCAGTGATTTTCAAATATCTTTGATCAGGAACTCCACCTTCCTGTAATACTTTGGGCAGCTTGTTTGTGTGTACGTATATTCTTATCTTGAATAAGGCCCAATGGCTTTAATTGCCAGCCCTAGAGGTAACCTGAGTGCAAAAAATAAGAGTGCCTTTTCTTCATTGCTTTCAAATACCTCAAACTCCAGCATAACTGTCGTTGACTCCATCAATAGTTCTTGAATTCTGGACTCCCAAATTAAAACCTTACTGTAGCCTAACTACTGGGTGCATCTGGAGGTACACATTGTCTATTAAGCACCATTCAAGTGCAGGCAGAATGATTCCCTTGTTACTACTAGTCCTGATGCTGATTTTAATGATCCACCTGAGATGTCTTTTGAGATGCAGGCCCTTTCAGACTGGCCCATTTTACAGGTGTGAAAGAGAGAAAGCAAGCAAAGGCTCAGATATTCACAAAGCCTTTTAATGTTTTGTGGCTAAGATTCAGCATTTTTCAAGAGAGTAGCATTTCTGAGGTTTATATATATATAAAAAAACCTCTGTTGTCTCCTGCTTTGAGGGCATGAAGAGACAGCACATAGGAGAAAATGTTAGTAGCCCAGATGTGTATCTGCATATCTGTATTGTGATACTGCATTATTCTGCATCTCCCTTTGTCTGTCTCGAAAGCGTGGGACATTGGAGGACAGGACAAAGATGGTTAGCAGTCCCCAACTTTAAAGGTGCTCAACAAAAAAGCTAGTTTTTATGAACATTTAGTATAATCCATATCTTCTGCTCTATCAGTATTCACTGGCAAAGTTATATTTAATTTCTGTGCGTATTTCTTTTCTCCTTTGTGCATAAATTCCCTAAATACTGGAAAGCTCACTTTCTCTCAAAGTTTTTAATACATGCTATTCAATATTTGTTTCAGATTGTTGATATTATTGTTGGAAAAGATGAGAAAGGCAGAAAGATTCCAGAGTATCTGATCCATTTTAACGGTTGGAACAGAAGGTAAGAACCTGTATGCAAGGCTTCAGTTCTTCCATTTCTTCTATTTTATGCAAAGAAAAGCATTGCACAGAATATCAAAGGACTTCGGTGTTTGCAGGAATATTTTTGGTTTTGTGAATGCCTTGAATATACTTGCTTGTGTTGACACGTTGGTCTGTATCCATAAATTTCAGTGGATCAGTTTGATAGCCGTAAGTTTAAAATTTATGGGTTATCTGTCTGTGGCATATACTTGTGGCTGCTAGGTTTCCATTAATAAAAAGAGTTTATACTTTGTTAAATCTAGGCCTGGTTTGTTTGTCAAGGCCAGTACATGAGTGCAATCCCTGACTGCAATCTACAGCATGTGTCGGTGCTACAAACACTATTGCCTGTTAAGTCAAGGTTTGAGAGATTTTAGATAGCAACACAAGAATTGAAGCCATGTGAATACAAAAGGATGCAAACCTTGTGATGCAGATGTTTCTGAACGACATTAAAAGAGTGCTTTTTAGATTTAATGTATATTAATTCATTAGTAATCATGAGTGGCATATATTCATAGCTGTTAATAATTTTCTTTTGTCCTGTCCTTAGCTGGGATAGATGGGCAGCTGAAGATCATGTTCTTCGTGATACAGACGAAAACCGCAGATTACAGCGTAAATTGGCACGGAAGGCTGTGGCTCGCATGTAAGAAATCCTTTTGGTCTCAAAATGAATGAGAGATTCAAACAGATACATCCAGGTGTCTACAAGTGAGCTTGGCCGCTAAGCTCATGCTGTAGATAGTCTCAGTACTGTCAGGGCATTCCAGGGAGCTTCTCTTATACTAAGGTAGATACCTACGTATTGTTATTAAACAACACTTTAAATGACCAACAATGAGTAACTAAGTTATTCCTAACTGTTGCTGTGAAACGCCTGTGTATTGGATCTACATCTTCCCAAAGAAATGTACTTGAAAAATAACTTAGGAAAACCTGAAGTATTTTTCAGCCAAAGGCAATAATCTAATAGTGGTTGGCCATGGCTTGAGGATCTGCCTGAGAACATGAATATGAGGTAATGTACGGGCGTTAAGGTATCAACTATCAAATAAGCATTGTCCAAATTATTTCAGCATTAGTTAATTAAAATAACTTAAACATACGTTTCCTGTGCATGTAATTAGCTAGGACAAACAAATTAAATAATACTAGCCAAATTTCAGTGAGCCGTTTTATGTTCCATAGGAGAAGAAAGGGAAGAAAGAAGAGACGTTGCAGGTTGCCTGGTGTTGA